TTTTTTGCCGCTAACTGTTACGACATCATTCTTAACCACTTAAACATGTTTATATACATTCAAATGACATTTTCTTAAACCTTCATGAGCAGGGCATCACTTTCTGGCCAATGAGAATTAAAAATAATGCCGCCCTTAAAAATTAAGGGGGGGTAGTCCAGTTACCCCACGACGTTGGGTAACTGGGTGAAAAAAACGGGAAATTTTTGAAAATTTGTGGAAAAAAATTGAAAGATGAAATTCGACTTTTGACTCTTCCTACATTTAGACAAGGTGTTGTACTTACTAAAAAAAATTTAAAAGTAGCATCCACTGTCAATATAATGATGGGAAAAAAATCATGAAGTTGAAATTTTGACATTTTTCTCCGAACTCCTGCCCAGTTACCCAACCTCACCTTAAAATCAAGAAATAACGTACCTGCATCTCTTGTTGCGCATGAGGGTCCCGATAATTAACATCAATTTGCTGAACGGCAAACTCGTGATAATAATACTGCTTTCTCACTTCACTCCATGTCCAAGCTGAATCGGCAAACAAAAATAATTCATTGAAATGTGAATTATTTTGAAAGTGTGCATTAATACTACCACACCAGAGAGAACCCCTAAAATAGAGTGTGAATTTTTTTTCGGCTCGAATGGTTGTTTCGGAGAAAATGTATGAATATTTTGCCTCGGAATTTTAAGGTATACGGACGTAAATCATGATAAAATTGTTGATAAGTTCAATGAAGAAGTTCCTCCGAGTTCCAGAAAATATGTAATTGATCGGAAAGAAAGTCAGCAACGTTTAAATGTACGCACCTATATTTTCCTCATCACGATTTTGCAGATTACAGTAAAAAGAAAATCACGAGCTCAACTTAACCATTGTAATCACAGTGTGAAAATCGTGCGCTTAAGAAAAAAATACGAATTTCAAATATGAAAGCATCTAAAAATTTATTGTCAATAAATAACATCGGTACTTATATGGTATATCTACCCAATTATTCGGATATGTCCAGTTGGAAGAATCTAACTGTTTTGGATCTTGCCAAACATAAAAATCTGTATATGGTTCGATGCGACGTTCAGAAAGTTTGAACCATTCACAGGTGTCACTTGTGTGGTTTGGCACGAAGTCTAGGATAACTTTCATCCCTGAAACATATATAGAAACAAATTTTTTGACGTCAACTCCCACTCATTTTTAAAGGGGCCAAGGATTCAGGAATACTTTTTATGGAAGCAATCCGTAGCAGAGGGGTTTCAGTAAGTTTAATTTTCTTTTCCTGGGGAATTTTTAGACGATTCTCTCCTGTTATGAAGTTAGGGTTATTTTTGAAGTCTGATAGAAGGAATATACTCACAAAAAATAATTAAATTCATCTATATAATGTTTTACTAAAGAGTCCCTCGGGACTGAGCTACCGCTAGACGCTTCATACTGTCAGAGGACTACTTTGTGGGAATGCTGATATTGAGTCATAATAGTCAACTAGAGGAGGAAAGGTTTTGAGCAATGCAGGACATTATTCTCATCAGGATATAACGTTTAATACGTTAATTAAACTACATCGAGTTGATGTCAGGGCTATTTTACTACGCATATTTGCAACCCAAGAAGTCTCCTGCAACATTTTTTCTACAGAGAGAAGCAGAGTTTTTTTTTCTCATTGATGATGGTTCAGAAATCATGCCGAGGCTATTGAGAAAGTGTTAAATTCAATCGTAACTTTACATTTTCAAGAAATATGTGCATAAATTTACATTGCAAAATGCAAAAATTGCAATATGAGAATAGTCTTTTAATGCAGATTGGAGTGATTTTCAGACTTTTCCGTTTAGTTTTGAGCCATTTTCCTTATGAAACGAGACTCTTCCTCTAGCTGTAGCAAAATTTTGCGACTATTAATACCTGAGTTTCTAATCGAACTCTGAAATACGAACATATTTCTATTTCCTGCTCATTTATTTTTGCTGCAATGGATCATTGCAAAAGGATGTAAACCCGCGTTCAATGTGGTCAGACACGATTCTGTTCATTTCTATGATTATTTACCGATCCGATAATCTCCAACCCAACTTACCCCTTTCATGGACCCCTTGCACCAATCTCTTGAAGTCATCCATGGTTCCAAATATTGGATCTACAGCTCTGAAATCGGTGATATCGTACCCCATATCAATCATGGGAGATTTATAGAATGGTTGAATCCAAATGGTCCCGACTCCTAGTTCTTTCACATAATCCAGTTTCTCGTAAATACCTAAAAGCAATTGATAAAAACATTCCCTAACACATCATATATTGCTTGAAAATATCGAAAAAGTATGCCTTTTACGCAGAATTTAGCCTGATCAAAAATTCGCAATCGAATACTGGAATTAACTCATCTGAAAGTTGGAATAAGTGTTTGAGAGTGGTCTGATGGAGGAAAAAAGTCCGACATTGAATCTTACAATCATTGTGAAGTAGTATGCGATTATAAGACAAAGCTACCTATCTACGTAGCTTCTGCTCTATTTCAAAGGAATTAATCTTTCTATCCACTCTGTCAAAATATAGGAGACAACATACGTAAAAATTCTCAAAATTCTATTTCTTCCAGTGGCGTGGCGTCCTATGCGGTGAATCGATTGACTACCATTTGAACCTATGGAAAGAATCGATCATCAGGGTGTCACAACAAACATTCTAGTAATCGATTATTTGCCATAGCTTTAAATGGGACACTTGTAATATCGATAGTAGTCGATTGCCAATGATTTCTTCCTCTCAAGAATTCGTTTATCGATCCCTGGAAAAAGAAAATTGACTTTCTGATCAACTACCAAAGCTCAAAAAATTAAATTATTTGGTCTGAGATGCAGTATTTTAACTTTCGTCAATCTATTCAGTGAAATCGGAAAAAAGAAAAGGGCTCTAAAGTTGGCAACTCAAATAGTTTGGTCTTCACAGCGAAACATTTTTAAAGGCCAAAAAAATAACAATTTTCAGTTCCGATTCCATTGCGCATCCAATGCTTTCAAGTACATCGGGTCAAAATTTCAAGTAAATTACATAATCAATGAAAGTTTAAAATTAGATGCTCCTAAAGCTCGTAATGGTTGGTGCCGGCATACTTCATCCGTTTTTCCCCAAAGTTGCCGATTTTTCATTATTCTTTTTTATTTGAAGACGTCACCAAAAGGTCAACTTTCGGAGTTTTTAGGTGCCTTTCCCGTTAAACATTACAGATTTAACCTCTTTAAATTAAAGTGCGGTTATCTTATTTCCACTTTGTAGGGCCCAATCATACATTTTTCACACATACTGTTCATATATTTACCGTTCAAGTCTCCAAGGCCATCACCGTTTGAATCCTTGAATGATCTTGGATAAATCTGGTAGATTATGGTATTTTCCCACCAGTCAACTGCCTTTGCAGTTTGTCTGCTGTCCAACTGGCCGAATAGAAAAAGGACAAAAATGACGAAATAAAGTACGCGTTGCATGTTTTCCACCCCTGTAGTTGATTACGAACGCCCAATTTTTCTTTCTAGATATTTCGATTCTGAAACAACGTATTTTCGGAGGATTTTATCAAAAATTCTAACTAAATATGTGGGATCGAATAAACCTGCATCCGCCATCATGACTCTGAAAAGGAGTCAGTATATATCAAGAAACAATACATTGGAAAGATTATTTCGAAGGTGAAACTCCCAAACCGCGTATCTCGGTTTGCGACGTTGCAGACTTTTTGTCATACTTTATTTTGTAAAGGGAAAACCACTTAAAGTCAATTCTTTAAAATTTTCGTGATTTGTCTATTCGTGCTCATGAAATTCTGTAAAAACTTCCATGATTAATGTTCAATTGTGTTCTCCTACAAAAAATGAAATGTATGCGGAGATTTGAAAACACCGAAAACAAGATACGTGGTTTGGAAATCACTCCAGTTTCAGTTTGGACATTAGTTTCCATTCAAGATTTTGCGATTTAATGCAAGACAATATACTTCATGAATTTTCGAAAAGCAGATGATTCTGCACGGCAATTTATGATACAAATGTTTTAACTTTAGTGTGAGCGGTGGAAACTGAAGGCGTTTTCGACCCCCTCAGAAACTTCATTTTTTTTTTCATACATTACCTCAAAATGAACGCAACTGTTCTTCTCTTTTGCATAAAACGTGTAACTTGGGTCCTCTCTAATATTTAGTAGCTGTTGGAAGTATATTTTCAAAAATACGTGCACGTGATCAAGAATGACTGTTTTAAAATGCTTAATGAAAGTCATTTTGTTTTCAATGTTTTTAGCACTAAACATTTACCACAAAATTGCTTGATAGTGTTCAGAATGGAGATAATATTTAGAAGTTTGACGGTAAAAAAATGGTGTGAAAAATGATGCAGTTTCAAACTGAAGAAAAATTCATTGTTTGGTCGATTTTTCTCCTGGATATTGCCGTAACTCCCAGAGGTCTCCATAAAAAAAATGATACCTGAAACTTGGTGGGTCCTTTTTGGATTATCTATTTAGGCACTTAGAAAAATGCCGAATAAGATTATCAGCCTGCGACCTGGAGATTCTTACTCAATTGGTGCCATTGTTTAGCAACTTTGAGATCTATAAACTTGGTATTTTGGCCGACTTTGTTAGAGATGATAGCAAAACCCGTGTACTTCACATGTTTCCAAAATTATCAGAAGTTTTGGGAGGTACCTTTGGTGCAAACTTTCGAATATTTTTCTGCAAAATAAAATGTTCCTGCGGAACTCACTTTACTGAATAATTATAACTACTTACTTCTGAGAATAATGCTGAACCGCGCGGGATGAAAGAATTCAATCAAGTAAAGTCTAGGATTTCAAGAAGCCTCTTACAATCTCGTCAGTTTCCGCTCTTTCCGACATCCGACTAGTGTTCAAGATAATTTCTTAATGTAACAAGGTGGAGAACTTCGGGCCACTTCTCAGTGTTCTTTTTCCCCCATTGATAATGTCTTAATTAAGCGTGTAAATATCTGAAGTCTGTTTCATTTAGTAGCAATTTTTCTAATTACCGATTTGAAGTGAATCACTCGTGCTTGATTCCTCAAAGTTCAGCTACTTATCGTTTATTTTATGGACGATGGCATTGAGCTTATTGTTTACTTCAGCATAGGTACGTAAGATTATTCTCTCGGGATCTAGGTTCATACATGCAATCGGCTCGTACTAATTTGATTTGAACCAGTGATATTGAAACTTGGCCCTCCCAACGCTTTTACCCAAAGCTCGTAAACCCCCCAAGCTCGTATTTTAACTACATTGATTTGCACCGCTGGTCATTTTGAAACTATTTCCATGGAAGCTAAGATAATTAGACTGCGCATATTCAAGATACTCATGACAATGCTCGATTTTGTAGTCCGTAGCTATAACGTTACAACCTTACCAAAGCAGGATATGCAACCCTTTACACTTTTTTACTTGTGGGCGGATACCCTGAGTCCTGAGTTGGTAAAATTTTGAGGCTGACACACCTTTAATTCATTTGAAAGTAAGATTTTGATTTCGCATACTGGTTTACCCTTGAGCGATAACTTTTTACAGTATTGTTACCCTGGTAAAAATTGGCAGTAGAATCTGTGTTCCAAAATACCATAGACCTAAAGCCGGCTGTAAGATTTTCAATAGGTTTTATAGCCGGCTGCACAATTCCTGATAGCCTTTTATAGCCGATGGCGATTGAGCAACAGCCAGGCTATAAAGTGTATGCTAAATGTTACTAATTACGGATGCTAGGACTCAGTGAGTTTTTGAACTACCGCTCTATTTTTGGGCACCGCTAGTATCTTGATTTATTTTGCGCGGAAAGCCCCGTGCTTTTGAAGAATGCCTGCCATTCCTTATATGTTGGAGCGCCTTCAATTTCGTATGATACTGTGCAATACCTCTGGTGTGAAATAGTTGCTTCAAGCGCCGTAGCACGCTGCGGCGCGGCAGGCGGGCAGCCAGCGCGAAAAGCGCCTTAGCGCCTACAAACCTAACAGGGATACTTCACGCATTGCGCCATGCGTTAAGTATCCCTATTAGGTTTGTAGGCGCTGCGCGCTTATCGCTGGCAGCACGCCGCTCCGCTCTGTGTTAGGCTGCAATATAATCTTGCGGAGTCAGCGTTTTTCAACTCATGATTTTGAAATGTTTGCACATCCTGTATGGATTATTCTCATTTTAATTGATGAAAAAAAAATATGTATTAAAGGAAAGTATAATGCGTGTTTTGTGAATATTATGGTGGTTCCGTATCAAACTTAATGATTTCCAAAGCACACGAATTTCTACACAATTTCTCATAGCCTTTTACAGCCGATGGCTATAAAGTGTAAAGCCCGGCGATAGGAACTATAGCCCGGCTGCATACTTTTTTATCGCTTCGTAAAGCCCGGCTATATGATTTTCTCCGCATTCTACAGCCAGCTATATGATTTTCTATTGCCTTCTTTAGCCGGCTATAAGAATTCCTATGGTATTTTGAAACGCAGCTCCTATCGCCAATTTTTACCAGGGTTACAACTCTTCCTTTTGATAATGAACGAAGGAGAATACATTTTTAGATGAATCTTATGAGCCGTTTCTCTTAGTCCCTCCAGAGCTTGCGAAATGAAGTAGTTCATCTCTCACAAAGGGGTGGCGAATGAACCCATTTTGAGCCGTTATAGTTTTCTCTATCAATTTTCAGAAATTATAATAACAAATTTCATACGATTTACAAGCAAATAAAAGAAGATACGTTTTTCGTTCCAATTTTTTCTTTGTAGTGCGACATCAACGAACATAAAAGGAAATATTCACGAGGAAGAGACAAGGGTTCTGCGATCTGAAATGTTAATATTTTGTACTTTAAGACTGTAAAAGTCGACTTACTTGTGGGTGGCACAATAAAACTGTGAATATAATTCAAGAAAAGGAAGGAGCTTTAGGGTTGAGAGTAAGATTGAGAAGAAATAATTTTGCTTTTTCTATAATTTTAATTTTTTGGGCTATTCTCAGGATGTTTCAAAGTAACTCAGTGTCTTAAATCGTCAATTTTCAAGGAGTTCTATATGTAGCAGTAGTGAACCGTACGAGGAATCTTTCAACAATATTCCTACAGAATTCAAAATAATGGTATTGTGTTTCTCACCCCTTTTGCTTCAAAATGTATGTTAGACATTTGACACGCACACATCTATGAAACTTGTTTAATATTATAGCAGCCAAAGGCAAAATCATATTACCTATGCCTAAAATAATCTGGAACATCGTGTAAACATTTTGAAGAAGTGTGGGTGTGGAAAACTGTATAAAGTGTTTGAATGTGCAAAATAGCTTACCTCCAATGGTTGACAAAGAGCCCACTCAGTTTGGGACCTCTACATGTAAAACTGCTGGAAAATTGACCATTGAAAGATGTTTGTTTGAGTATCTAGTAGATGTTCAAAAGGTGACCTTAAATTTATGTTCAAGCCAAGAGCATCCTCCTTTTGGACTCTTAAATTGGGCACTACCTTAAAGAGCTGAAAGGTCCCGTAAAAACTTAACACTCGCAGACCGACCAAAAAGCGACACTTTTTTTTTTTATATATTAATCTGATTGGAATGGCGATACTCTCCTCATTTCCAAAATGTTTTACACTCGACATATTTCTGAAAATTTACCCCTGTACCTACCTTTCCTTTCTCGTTGGCGGCCACAAGTTAGTATCCAGATACCATTGTTATGTCCGCGTACACGAGTTTCCTGCAAACTCTGTTGAAGTGGGAGTGACTGATGAGAATGTAATCTTTTTACTTTTTCCGATTAAAGCGAATAGTGTGCGGAAAACCCATGAAGAAATCCCTTACCTGTTTTCAAAGTGAAGGTTATAAGGCGACCATGACGGGAGGAAAATTTATTGAGAATGAGGTCAACATTTCAGTGAAAGATGAGGAATTCTAATGATTTGAATCTTTTGAGTGTCCTTCCACCTCACATCTCGGTAATTGAAGCACTCTTCATATCCTGATTTTTGAGTGGCACTTAAGTTTAAAACCTCACGTAAACACTCGGCGGAACATGAGTTTATTGATCTTTGTTACGGTTTTATTGAACTGTCTGTAAATGAAAATAATTTACGCGTGATCCCACTTCAGGAAAAAGTCCGATCACTTTTGTTCATTCAGTAAATCATACATTTCAAATTATGTGACTCATTAAATTAAAAATAAGAGACAGGAAAGTAGATAGTAATTATATATCTGAGTGCATTACATTATGGAGTTGTATCATGACATTACATTAGTGCATTATATTATCGGACATTCTTACTCGGAGAATTTTCTCTCCATGTACATAACGTTTCGTCTAGAGATCAATTTTTATTCGAAATCCCACGGTATCAAAAAACGTTTTTTCAATGCCACGAATTTGAAATTAACACGCTTTAGCAAACTAAACTTTAGCAAATTAAATTAACCCAATTTAATGGAAGATGGCTGCCAATTTCAGGTTAACATATCATATCAGGACATCGCAAAAAAACTGCACTGAGAAAAAAAAAATTGACTGTACCATTGATACACTGATTATGACCTGACTAACTCACTTGGTATTTTACAGCGACCAAACTATTTTTATGACACCATACTGGTGTTGTAAATCATTCATTACACCTCCGATGTGGTATGGTATTACGTGCATCAACTGCAGTTGATGGTATGGTGCTAATTGGTGCAGAGCACCAACTAGTTGGTGCAAAAAACCCTCTTTTGTCGATGTGACGCACCGATGTAATAGGTATTAATGTCGATGTAATAGGTATTAATTTGATTTTCTATTATATATAATTCTGTGTGACAGGACTATAATTAACGAATGCAATTGTGTACTTTATTCATGCTAATTTGTTACAACCTACGGAAAAGGCGTGATAAACATTATGCAGATGTAAATACTTTAGGTA